TTTTCTTGTTCTCTCCATTTTCGTTTTGTTGTTCTCTCCGCAATGCATTTTCTATCCTTACTTCAGAATCCAAATAACGTACTTCGTTGGTTAAAGAATACTCACAAGTTTTTTCGAAAAAAAAAATGAAATAGAGAAGAGAGATTTTTCGTTAATTCATGCGAAACTGGAAAAAAAACCGAAACAGAGGAGAGAGGTAGAGAAAAATCTAAAAAAACTTGTTCATTTTAATTTTGAGAAAATTTGAAGAAAGAGAAGGTTTGAAATCCATAAAATTCTAAAAGTTTTGAAGAAAAAAAAAGAGAGAAATTTGAAATCTGTAAAAATCTAAAAAAATTTGAAAACAGAGAAAAAGGGAGAGAGAACCACAGAGAGAGGAAGATGAAGAATGAGAAGACGGAGAATGAGAGAGAAAAGGAGGTTGAAATAAAAATTGTAATAAAAATTGTAAGTATGTCAGTAGAGGGTATAGCAATAATTTGAAATGGATTGTTCGATAAAAATTGTAAGCCATATTTCGTAACCACCTTTTGAGAAATATTATTCAGTCCAATTTTCCCAAAAAAAAACTAGAGAACAATAGTTCGTCCAAGCATGAACCAATGAATAAAGCACTAATTATCCTCCTTAGGTCGAAAATTCAGCCCCATCCGTGACTTATTGGAAAAAAAAAACCTAGAGAATAAATAACCATCAAACTAAATTCTTTCAATGAATAGAGAAATAGAGAACAAAAACATGATCAAACAAATATAATACATTAATCATTTAACATGTGTATTAGGTTCCATTTCAAAAATTCAATCCACTTGTAGGGGACAGAATACAAATTCATCCATCCATCCATCATAGAAAATTCATGGCATCCTTTTTTTTTTCTTTTTGAAACTTGCATTTGCTGTTCTTCGTACCAATGGTACAGAAATATACAGGACAGGATGAATTCCTGGAAAAAACTCATGTTAGTTTCTTTACAAATAGATAAAACTTGACAAGATTGCTCCAATGAGAGGAAGACAAAGGACTAGAGTTTTATGATTTGATAAAATACAATTATATTGACAGTAGAGTCGATAAAAAAAAAGTCATTTCATCAATGTGTAATTCCGCGTCGACGCCCTATCTGTTTCGGATATTCCTGGAAAGTCGATGGATTAGAAGAGAAAGGTTAGCAATGGATCTACTTCAAATGCAAGAATCATAAATTTCCACAAGATTCACAATGAGGTGGTAAGTAAATACATGGCAATGGAGCTAATTTGTAATCTAAATATTTAAAGAGAAACTATGAAATCTTAACATACTAACCATTTCATAAAGGACGAATAACAAGTTTAGTTACTAAATTTAGTGTTAGGTCTAATAGGTCTATAAACTTTTAATAAGGGTCTAATAGGTCCGAGACTTCTGATTTTGCATCTAGTAATAGGTCTTGAACTTTAAAAAGTGTCTAATAAGTCACTAAACTTTAAATTGCGTTAATAGATCACGACCTATTCGAAAATTTTTAAATTCATGAACTTAAAGGGAACTTTTAACCTTTCAATTTTGTGTTTAATAAGTCCATGAATTTTAAAAAATGTAGATTATGTACTTGTTAGATCCAAAATTGAAAGTTTGAGCGTTTATTAGACGCTTTCAAAGTACAAGAACTTATTAGACACCAAATTGGAAACTTTTGAAAGTTCAGAGACTTATTAGACCCAAATAAAAAACAGGTAATAATCAACTGAGTACTGAAATAGCAAAGTAGCATATTATGCACAAACATATTTTCTGTGTTTTCATCTCTTTATTGAATGTCTTGTTTCAAAAAGTAACAAAAACATATTTTCTGTGTTTTCATCTCTTTATTGAATGTCTTGTTTCAAAAAGTAACAAAAGACTCCAAGGAATTGCACAAATAAATGAACTCACCTGACAGGAAGTGACTGAGAACCAATTACAGCCCCCCTGGGTGCACTCTGGCGCCGTGGCCTTTGATCGCTTTCTCTACTTACACGCATAGCAGCAAGTTCCTTCTCTATTGAAACTACTTCTCTTCGCATTTTCTTCGCTTCAACTTCCATAGCTTTATTCAAAGTATCGACCTTCTTTGCCAACATCTGTACAAAACCCAAAAATATGCACAATAAGCCAAGCATGAAATACAAGAGAATAGAGATGAATGGATAATCTTCAAATTCAGTTTACAAACTAACCTCAATTGCATCATCCTTATCTTTAAGGGTTATATCCTTCTCATGGCAAGATTTCCTCAGAGATATGACTTCTTTCTGTAACATGTCATACAACACTCCAGAAACAAAATCTTCTTGCTCTGTTTTGGTTTTTCCAACTGAGATACCGTCTTCATTCTCATATGGAGCAGTCGTTTCAGAAAATTGAATCTCACCACTGGTTGTTGTGGCTGAATTATCTTTGACTACTGCATCCTGTACCAGCTTTTCTCTGTCCAGTGATCTACTACCACCATCAAATGATCTAGAAGAGATTTTTGTAGTCTTCAACAATGCACTGGCGCTATTTGATTGCAGTGATCCCGTGTGTGAGTTTGTATTTCTCCTGGATAAATAGCCATTTGAAGACAGTCTAGACAAATGTTCCGTGCCTCCAAGTGACTGACGTCTGGAAGGTGCAGTGCTTATGCTTCTTCCTTCAGAAGCAAGTTTTGGGTTGCCATTTGATGATCTAAGCTTTTCCTCCAAAACCTTGAAGCGCAGCTGATATTTTTCCTAAGGGGCCAATCAACAAAAGGCAAATTTTGTAAATAATTCGAGAGGGCATAAACAGCTGATAATTAATTGCAAAAGTTGCATTTCCTCACTTTCATTTGTGCTTCAGCCTTTGCGGTACGCTCAGCAACTGCTAGTTTATCGCGAAGTTGCTGCATTTCTCCCTGCAAGTATATGCAAGACTACATTAATTAACCTCTGTAATATGCACAGATATTATTCGTGGAAACTACATCATACGTTCTACTGTCACAAATACATCGTCCAATTTAGTTACCACCAAGTTTATTTTGCAGTTCTTATATGGCAACCAAAATATTTATTTAATTTTAGGAGTAAAAAGGTTCAAACAAACTCAGTATTGGAATTTTAAAATGTGTCGTAAAGAGGAACTGCAACATAAGAAAGTGATAAAATTCACATAGTCAAACGAGTCATACAATCCCAAGGAAAAATAAAGAGTTCCACGTCCCTCCCAACTCAATTTAATGGTCCAAAAAGAATCTCACTCAACATCAGATTACCCATATACTTATTACATTCATCCCATTCCCGCCAGATAACTAAGTTAGTTACAGAGGCTACACTTACATTACTCAATCTCCATCAACTGATTTACTACCATTCAACCCAGAGCAACAACCCATTTGTATCTTCCATAAGGAATCTCCAACATCCTCAACGCATATCAACCATCGATATTGGTCCAGTATTCTCTTTGTTTCTGACAAGCACCACTGCTCACTCTACCTTCCTTAGCTGTTACATTGAGTACTACCCTAATGGGCGTTTTCTACCATAGTTGTTTGCCAAAGTCCCTCCAGCTTCTTAATCACGCATCCACTTTTCTTTCCAAGGACCTCTTGAATTCTTCCTTGATTTCTTGAGCACTTCCTCAATAGTGTTCTGCGCTCTTGCATCTTCTCCACTGCATCTAATCTCAATTCCATTTTTCTATTTGCAACCATTTTAGATACACAATATTCTAGTACCACTTCTGATAGAATATATTTCGTGATATGAACTACCGCAAGGACTTAAAAACATGATCCACTTTTATTTAAGATTTTTTTATTGCTTTCCATTTTTACCTTTGAGTATGTTTAAGTTAGGATACTTTAGTCTTTTTGTTTATGGGTATGATATGGCCTCCCATTAGAGTTTCATTAAATAAGAACTCCATCCAGGATTTGTCTTCCTTCAACAAAGGCTACTTGATATTATGAGAGTAATGGGGAGAACTTTCCTTAATCTCTCGGCTAGAACTTTAGCAATAATCTTATATAGGCTAGTGACATAATAGGTCTGAACTCTTTCACTTTCCTATCCCTCTCTTTCTTAGGGGTGACACATATAAAAGTTTTGTTTGCACCCAAGGGGTGGCTCCGTTAGCAAGAGCTAGAGGTTTCTTGATCATACCGACTTAGAGGTCTCAAGTTCGAACATTTGGGTACACTTAATATAAAAAATTTTAGATGTCTCCCATGTACGGGAGACCAGGCCTTGGGCCCGGCATGGGTGCTCTCAAGTATAGGGGAGCAAAGCTCCGACTTCCGGTTATCAAAAATAGAAATATGCATACACACACACACATATATAAAGTTTTGTTCATGAATGATCAATGATACCATCTTTATTTATTTATTTTTTTAGTAAGAAACCTGAAAGATATATATTACTCACAAAAAAAAATTACAAACAAAGGGCAGGGGAAGAAAAAACCCCCTCCCCATCCCTAGAGAGCTAAGTCAGAAAGGCCTTCCAATTTTGACAGTGAGGGAATAATTATAAAAAAGATTGCTACAAGTGTAGCACCACCTAGAAGTTGTGAGTTGTACAACATTCCAAAATTAACCAAGTTGTAAAAGTTATCCTAAAAAGACCTGTGGTTTCTTTCTAACCAAATTTTCTAGAGAAGGGCAGCCATTGTGAAGTTCCAAAGAGTTTTTGTTTTGCTTTTGAAGTGACCACCATTGAGAGCTTGCATCAACCAGAAACCATCTTCATAAAATTCATTGAATAATTTCCCCAAATCATCCATAATTATGTTCCAATCATTTTGAAAGAGAGCCATCAATTAAGGTTTGAACCCAGAACTTCTAAGTTGGCAAGGAGATTATGAAGCCACACCACCAGAGCCTCCTCGGCCCTTGCCTTTAGTTTGTTCTCCTCCTTTTGTTCAATATATTCAGTTTCTTATAAAATAAAAATAAAGAAAGAAAGCCATCAAGACCAAGGGATTTATTTCTATCAAAGTTAAAAACCACCTTCCTGATCTCCTCTAAAGTGGAAGAGGCCTCTAACCCCTCACTATCCTTGCCTGACCCGATATAGGGACCAATCCAAGCCTTCCATTGGAGGAGGGAGGGGGGTCCTAATCTCCTCTAAAGTGAAAGAGGCCTCTAACCTCTCACTATCCTTGCCTAAAATAGGGGACCAATCCAAGCCTTCCATTGGGGGAGGGGGGACTGAAGAAATATAGGACTTCCTCCTCTACCGCTTTATCCCCCACTGCCTCCCTACCATCCTCTCCCACAATAGATTGAATAACATTCTAGTACTTTCTGGAACTCGCAATTTTATGGAAGAAGGCAGTGTTGCAATTACCCCCAGTGCATCTAATTTTGACTTTTTTGTCTAGCACATGTCCTTCCACCTAACAATCTCCTCAAACTCCCCTTTTAGTCTAATACTCTCCTCTATCGCCCCCCTTCACTGAGAAATCCATCCTCATCCAATCTGTCTAGGCTACTAACTCTCTCCAACACTTCCCTATTTTTTGATCCTAAGATCTTCAAACATGTCTCAATTCCAACCTTCTAAAACCGACTTAACAGAAGCCAACTTTTGCATAAAACAAAAACCTTCCCAATTTCCCACAACACTGACGCCTCACTAAGAAGAGATAGAAGCTTGAAAAGAGAGGTGAGAAAGCCACATGTTCCCAAATCTAAAAGGAATGGGACCCCAGGGAATGGAACCTGAACTAAAGCAAATGGGCCAATGGTCCAAAGTTACTCTAGGTCAGTAACCTCTTTAAAACCCCCAGAAAGCAAGAATCTATCAAGCCTGCAACACATCACCCTTTCCTGGAAGTTAGACCGCATAAATCTAACGTTAGAAAGGGGAGGATCCACAGGAAAACCATCATCAATAAACCCATTAAACTTTCTCATAGATTTAGAAAAACCCCCAAACTCGATTATTCCACCGGAAATTTTAGCAACATTAAGACCAGATCAAACTGTACTCTTTTGGGTTCTTTTTTTTTTTTTTTGGTATGAAACAATATTTCATTGAAAGTATGAAATATACAAAAGGCCACAAGGACAATTACAAGAAGGCTTCCCAGCTTGTAATAAGCTCATTTAAAGAGTAACTACTGAAAGGCGGATAAAAGCATTTGCACCACCCCATAGCAACTACAATGACCCTATCAAAAAAGTTTTCAAAGGAGAGTGCCTTGTTGTTGAAGACCCGATGATTCCTTTCTAACCATAAAGACCAAAGGAAGGCTCGAATCAGTTGTGTCCAAAGTATAGCTTTTCCTCTGTTGAAGGGGTGCCCCACCAAAAAACAATCAAGTAGTGTAGCTGGTTGTGTGTGGAGAGCTGTTGTCCATCCGAAACTTGAGAGCAAGCGGTTCCAAAATCGAGTGGCAAATGGGCAATGAATAAATAGATGGCTTTGTGTTTCCGAGCTTCCAAAGCATAGAAGGCAGCAATTTGGAGACAGGGACAATTGGGGGTTCTTTCTCTGTATTCTGTCATGAGTGTTTAAGGCCCCGTGAGTGAGTTCCCAGCAGAAAATTTTAATTTTCTTTGGGTACTTACCGTGCCAAATGTTAGAGTAGAGAGTGGATTCCTGTTGGTCATGGACAGTGTGTGAGCAGAGTAGTTTGAAGGTTGATCTGGTGGTGTATAAGCCCGATGGTTCGTGGGGCCATCTCCATTGATCTTCGTTGGGTGAGGGGACAACCGGGTCAATAAGGGAGACCAGTCTCATCCACTCATCAATTTCCTCCTCCTTTAGTGGCCGCCTGAAAGTATAACTCCATGAGGAGGTTGTCCTGGACCAATGATCGCCAATGGTGGCGTCCTTTTCCGTGGCTATACTCTTTTGGGTTCATTATATTCTTGATTGGCTTATCCATATCTCAATACGTTAGAATTTAATCTCTTACTTGACTTTTCTTGTTTTTCCATTCCGCAATGTTAGTTTATCATTTTTATAAAAGAAATGACAAAAAAGAGAACTTAAAAGACAAATTAAGAAACTCATTCCAGGTATATAATAAATGCATATACTAACTATGACATGCCTGAAAAAATCTTCTTTCTTCAAGCCATTGTTTCACTGGCATCACTTTATCATTTGCATCTTTCCATTCATTGGCAACAACAGTGGCAACCCTGTTGGCAGTAACTTTTGCACGAGCTACCTCACGTTCCAAAGTTCTTCTTTCCTCCTATACAATCAGCAAAATTAGAAAATAATCTGAAAATTCATCACATGGACCCAGAGAATAAAATAGATAAAAATAAAATTTTGGATAAGAAACATTTGATTTATGATATCAAATTACAAAATGAGGGAGATAAACATGATGAAAATTTGAAACTAGAATTATTACACTCATCTCTTGCACTTTTCGCTGGTAATCACGCACAGCATTGGCTGCAGCACCACCAGCCAAGACAGCCTCCTCTAGCTCGCGGACAGTTTGCATTAACTTTTCAACTTCCGCAACCTTTTGTCTGTGCAACTTGTCTAATATCTTATTCTCCTCCTGACATTGTGGCAAATACAAATAAAATTTACTGTCACGTATTTGAACTAAATAGGTGGCCTGAAAACTACTGAAGAACTTTGAGTGATTGACAAACCTGGCATATTTCAATTTGCTTCATTAACTCTTGGTTTTTGTTTTGTAAGTCATCAACCAACGATGCTTTTGCCAAAGCAATCTGGACGGTTCTCTCAGCCTCAAGTAGTGCAGCCTCCTTGGATTTCGTAAGTCTATCTAGAGCTCTATTGTCGTCTTGCAACTTTGCTACCTAGAAACCAGATAATCTTCAAAGTTCAAAAAATCCTTTTTCTCAGACGTGTATGGAAAATAAGTGCTCTGTCATGACTTCTACAGGGAGCTGAAAAAATGTTCTAACAACATACCAAGTACGCTCAGATAAAAAAATAATAAAAAAGAAGTTCTAGTTCAACCTCAAGCCTGGCTAGCTTAAGCTCTGCCTCCAATGGAGCTATAATGGCCTCAATCGGAGGCATTTCATCATCTTTTTGGGCTGCATGAACTCTTCGAAGAGTGGCTTCAGCAGCAAACTGTGCAGCTAGAGCAGCCTTTTTCTCATCATTAATCTTCTTGATCTCAAGGTTCTATAATTTTTTAAAAAATGACATTAGTGGAGGCTGCAAGTAGGGGATGGATATGGGAATGCCAACCCCTATTATCAAGAGATAATAGTAACTTCATGTTATACCTTGCTTTCCAAAAGAGCTTCAGTTGCCTTGAGCTTTTCATCTACTTTCTTCAACTCATCTGTTAACTGAGATTATGAGCCAAATAGAGAGCAAGTATAATCAGTGGTCTACCGCCGTGTTTCTAAGCACCATTCAACACAGTTCATCAATTATTCAAAAGTTGTAAAATAAAAATTGAAAAATGGCTTGTGGTAGTTGCAAAATCAACCAATATAAAACTATTCATTTCAGTATCAACGAAGGTTTTGTTTCATATCCCTTACAGATTTACAAAAACAAAATCAACTTTCAACTAAAGTATCAGCATTAACTTTCTAATTCTTAGGTACAGCTAAGATCCATGAATAGATTTTTTTTTTTTTATAATTGGGAGTCGAAGCTTTGCTCTCCTAAACCTAGGCGCGTCCACCCCAAGGCCCATGAATAGATTATTAACAAAAAAGATATCCAAGTGCACTAAATCTACTGTTGAAATTCATCAAAAGCATGAGAGATTACATTATAACAAGAACATATTACTCCATAGTAAGAACTCTAAGACAAACCACATGGCTCACTATTGCCACATTGACGTTAGAAACAAATGAACACGCCTATGTTATATTCAAACTCACCCCAAGTCTGTCACCATATTGAAATGCCTTAGACAATCCACTGACACTACTTGCAAGCAGAATAGCAGATACAGTATAAACTATGCAAATAAATTCCGTGCCTTAATTTCTGCATCATAATCCACCTGATATAGGGATTGGCTGTGGCATATGGATTTTAAATATGAACTGTTGGGAGGGAACTGATGGAGATTTATGCAGGTGGACAGGGGAGAAATAGTGTTTGAAGCATTATAGGAAAACGAAGGAGTACTTGGGATTGGAGGAATATCAAATGCATTGCAGTCACGTTAATCGATATGGTTTCCACCAATTAGATTCTTTTTATGAGAAATAGAGTTTTCATTGAGAAACATGAAAAAAAAACAAAAAACAAACGTTCTTCTACTTTCATATTATCAATGAAATTATTTCTTTTCAAAAAAAAAAAAACATGAAAGAGAACAAAATGACATACAAAAGGGTAGTCCAACAAGAAGACCCAAGCAAAAATTAACTATACAAAAAAGGCTCCTCACAAATGATTACAAAGATCCTTAGAAACTAGCACCCAGAGAGAAGCATTAAGCCTAGCAAGAGACCAAACCTCTTCCCAAGACCTCTACCCTCTTAATGTCCCGCAAAATAGCAAAAGAACCAGCATGCCAAAGTATCCGACTCTCATCACGAAATGGCAAAATATATAAGGACCTCTTGCTTCATAGAACAACAGTCTCCTTTGGTTGTTGGGATGATTAGATTAATTTTTCCATTATCTTCTCTAATCTAGTCAAATCAAGTAGGACTGGTTCCAAGGTCAGTCATGCTAGCACACTAGTGTTGGAGATCCAAGGAGTTGTATCAAAGACAAAAATGGGACTTCAAGGATACTTGATGATACTTTTGAACCCACAAGAAGTCATCAATATACATTTCCAATGCTTCCTCAATACTTGATTATCCAGGAAAGGAACAATTGTCACAATTGAAATCTAGTTCAACTTCTACGAGAATATAGCATGGAGGAAAAGTAGTAGGATTATTGTCATAGCAATTTGTTGATTTGCATTCCATTTTGGTTCACGATCAACATAGAACTTCTAAAGTTGGTATAAGAATAAAATAGTACCTCTTCAACCGCCTTCTCTTTGAGCCGTTCTGAATTTTTTAATGACTTAACTTCAGCAAGAGCCTCCCCCAATTCCCTGTCTTTATCTGCACGTATGAAAAAAATATTCAATTGGATCCAACGGTTCAGAGATACTTGATGCCATTGAAACCTGAGTGTCTTCTCATTCTAGTCATACTTCATTCTTGAAACATGGAAAGGACTATTTAACACTTCCTAAGACCAAAAATTAAAAAGAAAAGAATAATTATAAAAATAAAAAAATTATAAGAAGAAATTTGATTTAGCATAAGGAAAATGAAATGCCAAAAAATTTATGCAAACGTAGAAGGGTTGTCTAAAAGGAAACAGTGGCATTCGTTGTAGGGTATGATAATGTATATGCTTGAGATTGTTCGGCATTATAGTATGACAAGGAGCATAAGCAAAAGCATGAAAGCAAGATGCAATGTGAGCCATAGAAGCAGTTACAAAAAAAAACAACCAATGAGTTCTATTCTCATGGTAAATTTTTATGTGAGGAGCTGTCCTTATTGTAATGCTCAATAAGACAAGAACTATAATCTGATAAATGCAGATCACTAATAGTCTGAAGTGAAAGTAACAACCAATTACAGTATAGACTGCAGTGACAAGTTGCAGAAAGCTTACATGTAGTCTCCTTGAGAGTTGAGAGTGACAGGGATAATTGATTTGCTTTGGAAGTGAAGGAAAATGATATAACCAGATGATATAGCGTAAAAATGTGGCAACGGTTATTTGAAATTTAGTTCAGAAAACAATTATTCTTTTCGAATGACATGAATTAAATTTCAGTTTAAATTCTTTCAAAAAACTTCCCCATATTTCAACTTTGGCATCAATCATTATTTGAGTATTCCAGGTACTCCTACACCATCAAGTGACCAAGTAGACTAGATTTTTGCATCAGGGTCTCACATCAAGCTAGAGAGAGAGAGAGAGACCCCAAGATTATACAAAAGACAAAAAAATATTGCCTTATTCACACAATTTAGCCCTCTTGATAACAATCCCAAATATAAAGACTTGATTGGTGGCATTTCTATTTCAATCTCCCTCGGTTGAGTGTAGGGATCAATATACTGCCAGTGAATAAGTTACGACCCATACAGCCATACTCAAAACATAAAATTTGAAAACCCATAAATAACAGCTGTCAATCCAATCCTATAATCTAAAGTGGAGTATTAAACACGAATAATGACAATGCTCTAGCAAAACACAAGTGACAAAGAAAACGACTAATTAAAGCTTGAAACAGATAGAAGCCCCACAAAGAGGTATCAACATGACGAATCGCACAGATATCAACATACTCGTGTTGAATCATAGAAGAAAATTCAGGCGCAAAGATCTTTCCAAATCCAAATTGTTTCCTTTAACATCAATGTTGGGCATATATAAACACAAATATGGAAGAAATCAGCTCATACTTCCTGGGTCATGGCAAATATAGGAGCTTGTGTGTTTTTTATATTTAACTTTACACGATTAACAGTGTCCAGTCCAGTCGGAGAGCTCACAAAGAAATTTTCTTCATTGACTCTATGGGTTTCAATAAATCTTTAATTTCAGAAGTTTTGTCTTCCCATTTCTTGTTCATTACTAGAGAGCTGGTGTTAAGAATAAAAAAAGAAGGAAAAAAATTGTCTGGAGAAAATGCAGTATCGTTAAGCTAAAAAATAAAGAATTCCTTTCTTCTACGCAAACAACCGTGAATTTCCCTATAAACCATATCTAGTGGTTTCGCTCAACTATTAACTATAAACCCAGAATATAAAATAAGAAAGACCCAATTTACAAAAGACATGCATACAAATCACCAAAAACATCGAGGAAAAAACTAAATAAGAAACACCACAAAAACACGATACAGTAAGATTAAGCTTGCATCGCGAGCACATAGACGGCTCCATTCCTCACAATAACGTGCATTGCAAAATTTCATCAATAATTTCCTCCAAATTCCCAATAATTCCGCTTCTACTTCCTCTCAGGACAGTAAACAATCCAAAAGACACACACACACACACACACAAAGAATTCAAAATCGATCCAACACAACAAACACACATAAAACTCCAGCAACAGCAAATCAAATTCCATCAAAACAACCAGGAATCGGCGGTTGCACATGCATTATGCGAAACAAAAGCGGAAGAAATAGGTAGAGGAAGAGGACCTCGAGCTTCATTCTCAAGGCGGTTGAGCTCGACGCGAACTGGATCAGAGCCGTGCAAGAGAGTGACAATATCATCCACATCGGAGGCAGCTCGTGAGATTAGCGGAGGAGCAGGCTTCTTCCGAGCCTTGAAGGAGCCGGAGGAGGAGAGAAGAAGCTTGTTACCATTAGCAGAGTCGAGAAATTCGCCGGCATAAGCAGTGGCGCTGTTAATGTGGTTGCCGGCCATGAAAGAAAGATCTAGCTTACAAATTACAACACAGAATCGTCTCCTTCTTCTGCTCCTTGTTCTTGCTGTCGTTCTCGTTGAGCCCTAAGAAATGGGGGAAACGAGGAGGAGAAGGAGGAGGAGAGAGAAACAGGGGAGGAGAGAGAGAGAGAAGTGAGATTAAGCAGAGCAGAGACGGGGTTTAGGCGGGGATTTAAGAAAAGAGAGAGAGAGATTAGTTTTTGGATTAAAAGCTGATGAGAGAGAAAGAAGAGAGAGAGAGAAGAGGGGAATTATTGTGTACGGCCAGGAATAGAGAAAGCGTGTTTATGTTATGATGTGGACCTCTTCGATTCCGTCTGATCATGTGATTGTGGGACCCACGATTTGACTTCCTTCCTTCAATAAGCTTAAATTAAACAGCTGCTTTGTTTAATTAATTTTTTTTCGGAATTGACTCTGGTTTTTCTACTATATATTTATTTTTATATGCTGCTTGCGTGGCAAATCTAATTAGTTCTAGATATAGCAATAATACTACGTACTTGTTGATAGACGCAATCAATTTAGTAGAGAATTTTTTGGTTGTCGATGGAAGATCTATTTAATGATAGGTGTAGTTGTCGAAATTGGGGAGTTATAGCCTCGACTCAACACCAGCTTCAACTAAGTACAAACTTAAGTTTTGGAGTGTACATAATGGAGCTTTAGAATGATGTAAGATTCTAATTGTAGGTAACCAATTCAGCGCCTACGTCAGCCTCAACATTAAACATAAGTTGATGGGAGATCCACTTAATGATATGTATAGGTGTCGAATTTGTAGAGTCGTGCATCCACCTCTATAGAGAGACTCGATTCAACACCAACTTGGATTAAGTATAAACTTAAACTTCGAAGTGTACATGGACTCTGCACCGATACAATATTCTACTTGTAGGTAGCTAACTAAGTGCCTACGTTAATCTCAACATTGAAAATAAGTTTGAATGTTTGTCACAACCTAGCTATCGTTAATAGATTGATTAATATATGTAATGGGGGTGAGATCAAGGGTAGAGAGGGAATTATATGGAAATGTTTAAATTGGATGTTTAAAATTTCATTGTATTTGTAAAAGTATAATTTTATTGTTGTGTTAGCAAAATATCACGATATGAAATTATAAATTATAAAATATGGGTTTAAATATAGTTGGCTAAATGATACGAACATGAGTTTCAATTTCAACTCGATCTTTTAATTTCCTAAAATAAAATTTGTCAGGTTTGAAATTCATTATAGTTGACTCTAACATGATCATAGCTTAATAGGTAAAACACATATACTTTTTCTTTAGAATCGAAGCCTTAAATCCCTAAAATTTGACTATAGCCAAAAAGAAAAATGTTAGAGACAGTCTAAAAAAAATAATAAAATGACCGAGACAAAATCGAAAATAAATTTATGAATTAGAGGTAAATTTGAAACCAACTAAATTATGCAAATGACTTTAATATATGTAATTGGTTTCAACTGTCCCTCTAAAACTTCAAATTTTTCAATTTTATCTCATTATTCTAAATTTTCATTAGGTATTTTAACTGAAAATGACAGCAAAAGGTTATTTTTTTATTTATTTAAAGCAAATTAAAAGATCACAGGGAGTTGAATGAAAACTTTTAAAATGTAAAGAAAAAAAAAATTGAAATCGATCACATATACGTGGATGGCAATTTGTATCTAGTCAATATAATTTTAGTGGTTAATTCTTTTTATCAAAATTTTTAATTATTTATTTTATTAGGTAAGTTTTTTTATTGATTTTATATTTGGGCTGACTTGTAAATTTTCAATTTTAACCTTTGAATTTTATTAGTTTTTACATTTATTGTAAAAAAATATTGTGTCCAATTTGTTAAAAATGTGACATAATCTTACTCATTATCTATATGTCATAGACTCATATCTATATAATCACATTTATGATATAAACTGAATATAATATTTAATGAAAGTTTTGCAAAAACAAGTTAATGAGAAAAAAAAAATGCAGGTGAATTTCCTTTCTAATAATAATACCGGTAAAATTTTATGTATGGATGTTTAAATATGTTTCGAATATCTATTTTAATTCCTAAATTTGAAGAAAAATAACAAAATGTTTAACATTTAAAAAAAATATTATTTCATGCGCTGTTAAACATTCATCTCCTTACGTACCCAATTTAAAAATTCAATAAAAAAATTCACTTACTCTAATTACCCAAAAGAAACAAAAAATTAAGGTAGACGATTTTCAGATCATCATTTAAAGATTCGGTCATTTTTAGAACATCATTAACTAATATAGTTAAATTACAAGTTTAATCTCTAAACTTTCAAGATTGTAAGCGAACAAGTCTCTAAACTTTAGAAAACATCTAGTAAATATCTGATAGATCCCTGAATTTTCAATTATGTGTTTGTCTAAATGGTCCTTGTCCTATTCGTAATTTTTTAAAAGTTCAACAACTTATTATACACAATTTAAGGATTAAACTCCTAATTTATTATTAATTGTTTTTAGTAAAAAAAAAAACATGGAGGTACGTGGATTCGAACCTCTGACTTCAAGGAAACAAGTAGATGTTTATTGATGATCTAGGTTCATGTTGGCACTAAACACGTCATTTAATTTCAATCGTCCATTCGATAAACAATGATCGAAAAGAGATTGGAAAGAAATGAAAGAGATTTAAAATGAAAACCAAATGAGAAAAAAGGAAGAGTTAGTTCAAAAACGGGAAGGCAAGAAAAGAGGCAAAAAAGAGTGGTCCCTTGCTTTGTTTACCACCAAAAATCACTTTCCTAAGGCAAGTGGAACAAGCTACCGTTATACCTACTCCCACTCTCTCTCTATATCAAATTTTGTCCATTCTTGGGAGATCCAACGTTCGCTTTTTCATGGGGTGTAATCGGATCGGTATACTATGATGTAAGTTTAAGATTTTGATCTCTCATCTTTTATGTAACTATTCATTGATGTATTAAAAAAAATTATTTGGACTCCGTTTAGTCACTTGAAATTAGAATATAAGGAATTAGAATGAAATCCATCAGAAAAAAATGTTAGGGTTGATTTGTTTTTAGATTCACACATTTTATAATATAATGAGTTGAAATTTTGATTTCAACCTTTTGATTTTAAATTTGAAACTTTAAAGGTTAGTATTACATTAAATTAAAAAAAACTATGATAAATATATTATTTCATTTTATGAACTTTATTTTTGTTAAAATCAAAATAGGTAAAATATAATATATTATAAATTAAATCTAAAATCTGTATTTTAAAACATTTGAAATTTAGATAGGAAAAAAGTTGTCAAACATGATAACCATTTTATTTTTAATTTTATAATTTTAAAAATTAAGC